ATGGAGGGTGGATGGATACCTTGTCTTAAAATTGATTACAGTACTTAAGCGCACAATTATAACTATTAGGCTTAATGATATTACAGATGTGCTATAGGGCTTCCGTAGCTTGTTGAATAAAGCTCGTGGCTTAGAAGAGAGAGATGTTTTCTTTAATTTTTTTCTACATCTCACTATAGTTGCAAATTAACATAATCGTTATATATTCCTTCTCTGCAGGACTCCCTAGCAGAAGTTGAAGAAAAATATAAGAAAGCTATGGTGTCCAATGCTCAACTAGATAATGAGAAAACAAATTTCATGTATCAAGTAGACACCCTGAAAGATGCACTGTTAGAATTGGAAGAACAACTGGCAGAGTCAAAGAGGCAATATGAAGAGAAAAACAAGGTAAATGTACAGCACTAGAGCCTTTATGACAAGCTGAAAGTCAGAGCTGAACAGTGTCCTCAGGGAGGAGCAATGGCACTACTAGTGAAATTATCTTTTTTTTTTTTTTTTTTTAAAGTACCAAGATAACATGATAATTGGTGTCCCTGCTGCCTTCTTCTGTCTTGATCTGTTAAGGTTCACATTTTTATAAGGCAGGTTCCAGTATGTGAAGAATCTTATCTTTCATGAGAGAGGTCATACACTTCATTCATATTATGATCCTTGCAACAAACCCAAAACGTATTTCTGACTCAGAAGTTTTATTGATAGTGACTTCTGAAAATTTATTTTTCTTTTAGAATGTTATGTCATATGAAGTTTGTTCAAAAGGCCTTAAGTGTGTAATGAGAGATGCAAATCTTAATTAAGGTAGTGTTACAGTGATGTTGTAGTAGGGGTGGTCCAGGAATTATGCAAGAGGAAAGGATCTTTGTGGGTGATATCTTGTATTAGACCAGCTGCAGGGATGGAATAAACTTAGACAAGTCATCAAATGCAAAGCATTCCTCATCAGGTCTGAGGGAAGAAGGTGGCACTGTGATTAAAAGCAGTGAGCAGGGATTTGGAATGGGAGAACAGAGATTTCCAGGGACAGCAAACAAAGTTAACTGAAGAAAAGAAGCTTGGTTAATTGAAGATGAAGACCTATCAAAAGGGAAGATGGTCATTATCCCCTCTAGTGTGAAGGAAGAATTTCAGGCATCAGGTAGATTGTAGTCTGCCATCTTAATTAAGATATTCATATGATTCAGTATTGAAAATATTATAGCAGTGGCTTGAACTTATGCTGCATTAACAGGTAATGATAGTAGTGCCATTGAGTATCTCTTAGTTTTTTTCATAAGTCTTGTGCTAACTTCAGAAGTGTACTCTTTGGCTAATAAGATTAGCTGATGTGCATCCAACATCATGTATAGCTCTAGGAAAACATTTGTTTGAAATTTCACAGTGAACTGGCCAAATGGTAGAGTCCTACATAGGAAATAAAACCTGATTATTTTCTGTATCATTCACCTCTGAGGTCAGCAGGACATGGGAGTACTTTAAGTACTGCATGCTTTGACAGAAAATAAACAAAATAAAATCCTCCACCTACTGTATTATACAATAGTATATAAAAGATATGAAGAGTCACATCTAATTTATTGTTCCTGCATTATAGATGTTTGAAATAAGAGATAATAAATTAGAGCAGCTTGTAGAACTAATTTCAAGAATATTCAGAACAGTCTTATGCGGAGTGTTTTGTTTAGCAATTCCTTTCTTCTGTTCTTCATAAGATAAAGACTTTTCCAGTCACTAAAACATGCTTATAAACGTATTTTCTTCTGTCTTCAGGAGTTTGAGAGGGAAAGGCATGCTCATAGTGTATTGCAGTTTCAGTTCACAGAAATGAAAGAAGCCTTGAAGCAAAGAGAAGAAATGCTTGCAGTAAGTAATTTCTTCTTGTGTTTACTGGCTTTCATGACCCATGTGTTTCAAACTAGCACATAAAATATAGAAGGCTCCGTGAGGACTGGAGAGTCTTATTCACTGCCTCTCATTTTGCTGCTGAAAAAATACTGTAAGGTCAGCCTATTAGTCATTTTTTAAAATGTTGGGACAGATAACAGTATTTCATAATTACTTTTTGTATTTTGCACTATTTATAATTTCCAGGAACAAATTTATTGCCTGAGAGAGTACTTTTTTAAGAGAGTTTTTTTTAAGGAACACTTTTTGTGTTCCAGTTCAAATCAGCCAAATCAATTCCAAATCCATGAGTCATTCAAGAATCAAATGTGCCCATAATAGCTGCAAACATCCTCCACCCCCGCCTGGGGCGTCAGATGCTTCCAAATCCTTTGGCGGGCATCCTACATACAGGCCCAAGCCTGGAAGCTTGGGGTTTGGATGCCCCTGAGTTTGACTTGCCCTCTGCCATGTGGCTGCAGGAGCAAGTTAGGGAAGGGTCTCCCATTTCCATAAAGTTGGTGTGGCTGAGATCCTCCCACTGGAACCTGGCTGACTGAGGCTCTCGTAGGGAGTTCTGTCTGCAAGCAGACAAGGGTGCAACTCTCAACTACACAGTGGCATTTTAATTGCATTACCTTGGTCAGGGTATTTCCCCTGCCACCATTGTAGTCATGGTATTTCCCCTGCCAGAAAGGGGAGGGCTAGGCAATTGACGTAAAAGTGAAATCAAAATAGCTCTACTAACCTAGTATATGCCTGCCTTCTAATGGGTGGGATTGGGTGTTCGCAGTATGATAGACTTCAGGAGCTGTTTTAACTTTTCTTAAGGAAAACAGTTGGGATGTAAGTGGGCCAGTTACGGAGCTGGGCATGTGGGTAGTCTTTTTTTTTTTTTTATTCTCCTAATGTCTCATTTAATTGTTCCTTTGTGTCACTACAATCTTGAGTCTTTTCTTCTGGTTAATCCTTTATCTGCTTTCTGTCTCCCTGTTTGGTCCTGCCCATCAGGAAATCCAACAGCTGCAACAGAAACAGGAGAACTATGTCAGGGAAATTTCTGATCTTCAGGAGACAGTAGAGTGGAAAGACAAAAAAATAGGGGTAGGACTCTAATGCAACTTCTGAAATTTGTTATAGTTGGTGCTGTGTTTTGCTAGTAAATTCTGCATCTGCAAATCCTCATAAATAATAGTCCATTTAATAGCTTTTTTTTTAGTAAGGCCATCTCAGTATATGACTTGCAGTTTGTCAAATATGCTCTTTAAATTGAATTTTGGATTTAACTCGAAAGATAGAAACCAAGAAAACGCTGACCCACTGACCTGCAGATTTGAAGACTGCATAGAATTCTCTTAGTGTGCTGAAATATGCATGCTTATGTCAATGTAGTGATCTTCATTAA